AAAAAAAAAAAAAAAAAAAAAAAAAAAAAAAAAAAAAAAAAAAAAAAAAAAAAAAAAAAGAAAAAAAAAAGCAAAACAAAACAAAAATACAAAAATGTATAGCTTGAAGAGGGTTAGGCCTACCCAAAAATTAAGGAACGCTCGACCTCGACACGTGATATCGAAAAGGGCGAAATCGTCTCTTGATATCACTAACTCTCCTGACTCCTGACTAGTATTTTCCTAATAAACTCCAGGTTTCGGAATTAGAGCAGAAATAAAGTTTGAAATATCTTGGAATCATCTTCCCAAATGAAGTAGAGAACTTTTGAATATTCCTATCTCAGAACAGTAGTAAGTGGAATAGAAAACGTTTTGAATCAGTGGTCATGGCGGCCATCCCCATCTACTATATATAGACGATCGTGACTGACTGACGCTAATTCTAACCATGTTATGAATATTCCTATCTCAGAACAGTAGTAAGTGGAATAGAAAACGTTTTGAATCAGTGGTCATGGCGGCCATCCCCATCTACTATATATAGACGATCATGACTGACTGACGCTAATTCTAACCATGTTCTAGAAAGGTTAGCAATCTGAAACTCGGTACCCATGTACCTTTTGGGATGCAGAGTTCTGAAAAAAAATTCGAATATGGAGGTACATGCCCTGGGGGTATACATTTTGGGGAGAAACGTTTTTCTTAAATATTAATTATGACAGAGGAGGATGGCATTCATAGAGTCAACTGGATGTCTCAGGTTCGGTGGTGCAGTAGTAGCATAATTAACTGGCAATCAGAAGGACCGGGTTCAATTCCCGACCATTCATTGGCTTTCTTTCGGCTTCTTTGCCTTCCATGTCCCGATATTCTTTCCCCCTCCATAACATAATTTTTGCTTGAGTAAAACGGAGAGACATGGAAAGCTGAAACCTGGCATAGAGGTGCCTACCGAGACGATTAGTTCTGGAAAAATGCAAAATTTTAGATCCATGCCCTGGGGATATATTTTTTGGGGCCGACGTTTTCAAGTATATTTTGTCCTGGCGCATTGAGCTAGTGTGGATAGATAAAACTTGGTACATAACTACTTATTGCGATGCTGCAGAAAACTTCAGACTTTGGAAGTGAATGCCCTGAAGGCAAAAATTTTCAAAGGGAGATGTTTTCAACTAATTGTTTCGCATCAGTTAAACTGATGAACATGGAAAGCTGAAACTTTGCATGCATGTGAATACGGAGACAAGGAGTTAAATAAAAGCTGTGCTCCTCAGAGCACATCTTTTGGGTGGGTCGCTTTTCCAAATACATTTTTTTCGCCAGCAAAAAGGGGAAACGTATAATGCTGAAACTGGGTGGCATGGAATTCCCAGAGCCAACATTTCAAAAGAATAAAATTTTTCGTTAAAACCAATCAGGGCACTTTTTTCAGTCTCATCTTCCTGAATTTTTTCTTATCTAATGAAACAAACAGAAAATTTCAACTTCCCCCAGAATACCTGTTTGATGGTTGAGTACAGGAAATATCCTACTTTTGATATATGTCTCCTTAGCGTAGATTATTGGAGGGAAGTATTTCAAAATGTATTCTCCACCCTCACAAAAAGGGACACAAGAAAAGACTTCAAGTTAGGCACACTAGTAATCAAGGAAGTAATGATTTTGATGAAGATCAAGACTTTAGACCCCATATGTAACGTATTTCAATGGGGACGTGCTTTAAATATGCGTTTCCCATTTTGCAAAAAATTAATGAATTCATCACTATCCAAGGAAATGGACCGCCGAAGGAGCGACCATAGCGAGTTTGCCGAATCACCTAACCATGAAGGAGAAATCGTGTGAAGGTGAGAGTGGTCTCATATTGATTGTCGTGGTCTAAAACCTCGCAAAAAAATTTTAAGTAAATAATTAATTAAATAGTAAATTACTCCCTTTCCTTGATGTTACCTTTTTATTGCTCTCTCTTGCGTCGGACTAGGCAGTCTCTTCGATCTAAAACGGTGCCCTTTGCATCTGATTGCTAATTGCATTTTTCTTATTGTTAATTAACAATTATCAATGAGGGAAAGACTTCCGATCCGGCGAAAGGTGCATGTGATATATCAATCGCAAGTGCTTGATGAGTACATTGCGATGGTGTATATTTTAGCTGCGAAAGATGAGAAAAGGAACAGTAATTTTAATATGTAGTCCCGTTGAACGGAAGGACGATACTACCAGTTTTCATTGGAACCTAAATATTTTTCGGAATATGCAACAATAAGGTATGTGTTGGGTTCGGTAGTGTAGTAGTAGAGCAACAAATCGGGAAAAAGGAGGCCTATGTTCAAGTCCCGTCGTGCCCTACATGTTTTTCGCACAATCCTGGCAGCCTCCGCTACCCTCAGGCCTCATGACATATGCCCCAAGGAAAAACTCAACCTTCACAATTTTTCACGCAGTGATTTTGCGTTTTTGATACATACCCTAACTAACCTCAGAGAAAAGAGGAAGAAGGCACATCAAGTGAGCCGCATTCAACCTATGTTTGGCGAAACGAGTGAAAAAGTCAGCCAAATTTGGGGGATGATGGAGCAGTTGGATTAGAAAAGCAATGCGGCGAAAGGCATCGAGCCTTTCCTAACCAAACTGACAAATAATTTCACAAAAAAAAAACAGGTTGCCTTTCTCACTCGTTGGCCTTTGACCGAACTGGAGGAAAAAAAGACAACGAAGACTAGACCAGAAGGACGTAAGAAAAACTTGACTGGAGAACAATTGGCATGCCTGGCAAGGACATAGCATAGCTGGAAGACGCAATGGCCCGGACGGGGCGCCGAACATCCCCGCTCTTCAATGCCCAAATAAAACATAATCATTACATAAGCACATTAATATGACACACACATACCTCAACTCTCTCGGCTGAAACATCGAACCGAAACCATCTCGCCACGAGAATCCCAAGAAATTGCCATAGACACAATGTAAATGCAATATCATGGACGCCAGTTGTGAAAGGGTTAAGGGAAATACACAAGAAACCTTTACAACTTCAAACCGTAATAAGAAAATGAATTGACAAAAAGTTGGAGGTCAAACAAGTTTTTAACTCAGTGCCAGAGCTATGAAAGCCCTCACCAAAACAACGAAGACTAAACCAAAAGGGCGCAAGCAAACTTGACTGGATTACAGTGCGCATGCATGGAAAGGTAGGAGCACCGCTAGCAGACGCAATGGCCTGGGCGAGGCGTGGAACATCCCTGCTCCTGAATGTCCACGTAGAACGTAACCATTATATCAAAACATTTATATTATACACTCATACATCAACCCTTTCGGCTGAGACATATATCCCTGTAACATATTCATCCAGTATTTTCACGTGAAATATATCTTGCAACATTTCGCTGGTAGTCCACTCCACCAAGTCACCACGTTCCCCCAGCCACTGTGAGCGGATGGAGAAAAAAATTCCCTCTCTATAACGTATTCGCCTGCACCAAACCAGAAACTTGTTTGCCAACCGAACTTTCCCCCA